GAGCTGAGAGTTGGACAATAAGAAACCTTTCCAAAGAAGCTTTAAAGTTGACCCACCAAAATCCTAAATCTAGCAAAGAATGTAAACAGCAATAGTCAGAAAATATCAAAATCAAGTTAACAAAATAAAGCTTAGAAGTCATTTTCAATCTTATGAAACCTGAAGATAGAAATTTTTTTTAAGAAACTTTGAATATTTGAAATTGATATATCTCAAATATTTAATAACACATAAAATATCAAATAACACTCATATATTTAATATCACATATATAATATCACCATCACTACCTTCATAAAATTGAAATAGACCATTTCATAGGTACATGACACCAATGTGTTATAAGTGTAAATGTCACACGAATTGTGTGGTATACATGAAATTTTCCTTAAATAGTTATATATATATATATATTATATATATATATATATATATATATTTAAAACATATTAACCAAATATAGTACTTAGTCATTCACCATAGAATTCGACTTCTTAATGTGTCTGAAAGGGAGGGCAGAACCTGTAGTGCTGATTAGAGCAGTAAATACAATCAAAATAGAGGCAGAAAAATATAGAAACATAAACCTATCTTAGAAAAGAAGGAAACAAACAAAAGAACAAGAGTGAAATTATTGTACATCAAGCATGTTGACAATTCTAATGTCAATAGAGTTGGGCCCCCTCCATCCTATCCTCATCTTACTTCTAATGATAATTATGGTCTCACTCATACCAAATATAAAGGATTATAATGATGTAACAAAAATAAAGCACCTAACACCCTTTTCAAAATAACCAATATATATGATGAAAAAGTCCACCGCCAAATACTTCGAACCAATTATAGTGTCACGACCAAACCTGATAGTTTAGAATTAACCAGTTATGAATAGTGGTCAGATGATATTAATATTTCTTTTAAATCATTCAATAATCCATCATAACTTTCGATAATAAAAAGATTAATTAAAAACAACAATGTATACTAAATAGAAATTTTAGTTTTCCAAAAACAACAAGATAATATATCAATAAAACATCTCAAACCAACACATAATAGTATATCACTACACAGAAGTAAGAAATACGATGACTACAACCCCAACATATTGTCTATCTGCAATAGTCATCCGTCTATAAACTGAATATCTCATGTCAAATATATTAATTTATATTTTTTTTCTTGAAAAAATAATTAAATTCAAAAATAAGTTTTCCCGACTTAGTGAGCAATTTTAATCTTATTATACATTAAATTAGTATGCAAAAGCAATGTGTGAATGAAAAAAAGAAATGTAGCTCATTACTTATTCAAATTGTAAGTTTTTATTTTAAATTTAACCCTTCTTATTTTAATTTATGAATTTATCTTTTTTAACCTTTTTAAGAAGCTATGTCATGATTATGGTCATAGCTGAAGATATCCTCAAAATTGTGCCCGTAGATACCCTCAAAATTTGAGTCGGAAGGTTCGCCTTAATCATTCCTTTTTTGTACATATAGATGACATCTCCTGTCAGTACCATCTGAGGACAATCCTAAATAAATTGAGTCTTTACATTTCATTTCCTTTAAATTACTTTCTTTTTAATGATATTCAATTATCTTTTCTCTTTTTCCATTTCATTCATTTCACTATTTTTTAAGCTTACAACATGCATACAACATTCAAAAAATTATAAAAACAGTTGTTTGACAAATTTTTATTCAATAAAATATCAATTTAATATATATAAGAAAGAAATTACTCACTTTACTTTGTTTGTTTGTCTCACCGACTATGTTTCTCCAAATCTTTTAGGTTCCAATGTTCTTCAATCTTAATTGCTTATCTTTTGAATTGATCCACTCTTCGATCTCAAAACTGAATCTTCTTTTCTTCAGTTTCTTCGTGATTTCAACTGCACTTACCATTAACATTTAACAAATAAACTTAAATAACACATCTAAAAATACAATTTTATTTGATTTTTCACAAAATTTATGTTCCAAATTGTTGTGATATATATATATATATATATAAAATCACATAGGAAAACAATCGACGCCGAAGCGAAAAATATAACG